CAGTGGCTGAGCCAGCATTCTTCCCTGGGCTGCCTGGCTCCAAGGGCCAATGTTCTTCTCCTTCCTGCACTACCCCCCCCACCCCCAGCTCCCCCTTACCTGATGCTGCCTGTGCTTTAAACATACGGTCAAATAGAGCAGATGCAGCGCACAGTCACCACTGGTCTTCACGCAGGCTGTTAGCCAGAATTGCCTGCAAGAATTCTGCAGGACTGTCCTTGGATTCATTGCTCCCATTACTTTTCACTAATGAGGATGGGAATCAGCTTCCATCTCCAAGCCTTACTTTGTTGGGCACAGGAGCAGGAGAGGAGGTGGTGGTCCCAACACTCGGTTGTTTGCTGACTCAGCTTCATGGTCTCCTACTGCCTGGTTTCACTGATTAAAAAAAAAAGATGTTTTACTATGGTAATACAAGAAACAGAAAACATCAATAAAAATTATTTTAGAAGAAAGATATTTCAGATTGTCAAAAATGTTGGGATGATTGTTGGATGTCAGCCAGTAATTCAGTTCAACACACCGTGATCTGGCATCTCCTGCATACCAGACACTCCGGCAAGTGATAAAGGTACAAAGGGGAAATGTGCCTAGGTTCTGAATCCAAGGGGCTCACAGTGTGTTGGGGGGATACACCATGTCTACAGAGAATTCAGTGTGACAAGGCTAAAGGATTCCAGACAAAATACTGGAGTAAAGGTTGAGAAGGGAAGGAAGACACTTTTTGCTGAAGTGATTAAAGAAAGCTTCATGAAGGACATAGCAACTGAGTTCTGAGCTGCGCAGGAATAGTAGGACTTTAAGGGGTGGAGGGATGTGTGTGTGTGTGTTGGGGGTGGGGGGGGATTGCATACTCAACATGAGGAAATGGCCTGCTTAAACAAGGTAAGAGTTTGAGATCCAGTATAAACAGAACACAGAGGGCATGTAACAAAGGTGATGTGAAATGAGACTGCTTGATTGGAGCCAGATTTTGGAGGCCTCTACTTACCAGGCTAAGGAGTTTGTATTTTATCCCCTCAATAGTAGGGAGCCTTAGAAGGTGTGGGAGCAGGGAAGTGACAGGATTCACAAAGATGAATGCAATTAATTTTGCTGCCTGGACTCTTCTCTTGATTTGGGATTTTTGTGACTTATTACCCCACCTTGAATCTGGTGAGTAGTGGGCACACAGTGTTTTCCAGAACAAAGGTTTAGATGACCAGGAGAAAGAGAGAAGGGGTTATTCAAACTTGCTTGGGACTCCTTTGTGAACATATGGCATTCTTTTTAATTTTATAGTACATTGTTTATGCTCAAAAGCGGGTGAAGAAAAAACTGAGATATTCACTAAAGCACGTACAACAAAGCAGGCAGCAGCTCAGACGGCGTGTTTCTGAACAAAACGTGGTGATGAACAAACATCAGCTGTAGCTCGAGAGGCCTGTCTGCTAGTCAGAAGGGAAGACGCTGTGCGGTTCCTCATTGGCTGGATCAGAAACACTCAATTCACTACCCGTACCTGGGAACCCTGGATTTGGGCCACCCAGGTTTTTCCCTAGATTGAGGGTTGCTAAATTAGGCCATCCCATTTTTAGGTTTCTTGGAACCTTGGAGTAGGAAGAGGCCTCAGAGGTCACCTAGCCCATCCGCTGAGAAGCATGAATCTCTGTGGCAACATCCCCAAAGAGGGACGACCTTCAGGCTTGAGGAGGAGTTCGCTGCCCTTTCCTCCCCTCAAACAGTCCATACCACTTCTGGATGACTCGGATTATTAAATTCTTCCTTATTGAGCAAAACATCCTTTTCCTCGTAGTTTCCACCTTGTAGTTGGTCCTCATTCCTCCCTCTGGGACGAAGTGGAGTCATCCCTCTTCCCCATGTCTGCCGTCCAGATGGCTGAAGGGCGCCCAGGAGCCCACCACCTTTTCTTCTCTAGGAGGAACATCTGCAGTTCCCTCAGACGACTCTGAGAGGGTGCGGTCACCCTTCTGTGGCTGTCCATGACCGACTGTGAATGTCATTTCTAAAGTGTGGCATCTAGGACTGAGCACACGACATCAGTTGGGCTCTGATGGTTGCTGAGTATTTAGGAGAGGATTCAGGGCCTTGATGCTGTCAACTCTCTGAGTATCCAATTTTCAAGTATTGTCATAGGCAGAGGCACTGCTCTGAGAATACTGGGGAGGTCCCATTGAGTCAGAGAGCTCCGCCTGCCCAAGGACTCATGTAACACGCTTTCATTTCTTGACAGGAGCTGATTGACATTAAGATGCTTCAGTGCAAGAGAGTTGTCAATGGTAAGCACAGGACTCCTCTCCAGCTCTTCTTTGGGGTGTTTTCTATTTCATATTAAATTAGTGCTGGCCGGTTTTAAATAGACTTCCATTCTTTCATGTCATTTGGGAATGATGTTAAGGAGCTGGTGGTGCAGGGCCTAGAGTCAGGAAAGCCTAAGCTCAAATGCAGCCTCAGGCACTTAACAGCTGTGTGAACCTGGGCAAGTCACTTAACCTTTTGGCCTTCAGTTTCTCATCTGTCAGATGGGGATAATAATAGCACCTGCCTCCCAGGTTTGTTGTGAGGATCAGTTGAGATAATTGTAAATGCTTAGCACAGTGCCTGGCACATAGTAGGTGCTATATAAATGTTTCTTCCTTGATAAAAGCCTGCTTCTTTGTGGGAATGGCCAGCAGGCTGCTATTGTGTTTATGAACATGAGACATATAGGCTTTTTCATTTTGTCTCTATATTCTAAATTTCTATAAAAGCAATCAGATTTCTTAAGATGTTGATAAATATGAAAAGTACTGGGAACTTTTTTCATCTGTAGATATTTTAGGAAATACTGTTTCATGACTAAAATATGGATGAATTTTATATGGAATTGTCTGTTAAGAATGGTCTGCTCATAGCTTATTGGCAAAGTTAATTATCCAGTTTGAGGTTTCTGCCTTGATTAGCATCGTGGATTCAGCCTTGTGGAATTCATGGAAATCTAAACTTTATTCCATTTAAATCTATGCCTCATTTAAAGAAAATCCAGCATACAAAAATATGAATTTATGAAATAGATAAATAGGAGTGATTATGTCATAAAATAACCCATCGTAGATTTTCATTATTAACTTTCTGTTCGTTAAAATTTTATTTATATGAACTTTTTAAGAGAGGCACATTTATGTTAATAGTTCTAATCAAGGCAAAACACCTGTACTTAAACAAAGAAGCTTCTCAGTAGAAGACTAATCAAAGGGAGATGACATTCATCACATTTTTTGAAAACCTGCCATGACGTGGTACATGTGGGAGATGTGATGATGAATCACACAGTCTCTCTCTCACTCTCTCAGAAGCTAGAGCTCCATTTCTTTTTTTAACTTTTTTTTATTTTTTGGCTTTTTTTGGCTAGGCAATGGGGTTAAGTGACTTGCCTAGGGTCACTTAGCTAGTAGGTGTCTGAAGTCAGATTTGAACTCAGGTCCTCCTGACTCCAAGGTTGGAGCTCTATCCACTTTGCCACCTAGCTGTCCTAGAACTCCATTTCTAATTGTTCTTGTTTGTTATTGACTTTTGCCAGAACTGCCTGTATCTGTGATATTTACTTACTGATAGGAGTTAGGCTGGAAAGGATGGGCAAGAATTCAACAGGCAAAGAGGAAGGGAGGACATTCACAGCACAGAAAACAGTGTAAATAAAGCTTGTCAAAGCCCTAGAGGGTAGACTCCACGGGGTGGGATGGTGTGAAATCCAGTTCAGAAAGTCAAGATCATACCAGATCATGAAGAGCTACAGAGAATTAGGTAGAGGGGAGGCCACAACTAGGGGAATTAGAAAAGGCCTAGTATAGGTCGTAGTATTACCTGAGCTAAGCCCTGAGGGAAGCTGGGTATTCTAAGAGGCAGAGGTGAGAAGGGAGTGCATTCCAGGTATGAATCAGTGACTTTATTGAGCACCTTCACTGGGCAGAGGAATACAGTTACAAAAGTTGATCTTAAAGAGCTTACTTCATCAATCAATCAACATTTATTAAGTGTCTACTATGTACCAGGCACTGTGCTAATTAAGCACTGGGGATACAAAAAAGGCAAAAGACAGTTCCTGCCTGCAAGGAGCTCCCAATCTAATACAAATATGTACAAAAGAGTTACGTATATAAACCGGAAATAAGTAGGAAAGAGAGCCTTTCAGGCCTAGGGGACAGCCAGAGAAAATGCCTGGAGCCAAGAGATGGAAGGTCTTGTTTGGGAGATAACAAGGGGGCCGGTGTCACTGAATTGAAGAGGGTGTCTTGGGGAGTGAAGTTTAAGAAGATTGGAAAGGTAGCAGGGGCCAGGGAGTGAAGGGCTTTGAATCCCAAGCAGAGGGTTTTGATTTTGACCTTGGAGCTTACCTAAGGGAAACAGCCCATGACAGTCTATTTATCAATGAATCAATACAGGATATACGCAGAATAAATACAAAGAAATAGGATGAGTGGAGCAGTACTAACTACTTAGGGAAGAAAGGCCTCTCAAAGGAGGTAATACCTGAGCGGAGCCTTGGGGAGATCCAGAGAGTAAGGAGTAAGGTGGAAGAGCACTTCTGGTAGGAGGGAAAGCCTGTGCCAGGTGGATTCAGTTCAATTAATAAGCAATTTATGCCACAGAACCAGAGTCTGAAGGAGTGACAAATGGGAGGAAACCACAACTAATGGCATTTAAACTGTCCATGGAGTTGAAGGGACTGAAGTTGTTAAAATTTTAACATATTATAGGAACAGAGAAGGAAACTAACTTCTAGACAAAAGAAGAAAAGTTTTCCAGAGACATTCAGCTTTTCTTTTTTTTTTTTTGGTCCAGATTTCTTACCTCTAATTATGGAAGAATGCCAGAATCAACAGTCCAAAAAACAAAGCTGATGGAAATAAATCCTTAAGGCCATTGGTTTAAGTACATGTGATTCTTGGGCAATGACTTGGACTTAAAACCACTGGGGTCAGTTTTTTATTCTTCTAAGGAATCATCCTAAGATGTCCTTCAGGCATGTACAGTGATTGATCTTCCTCAGGATGACTCTGGATCATCAGAAACGGTTAACTCATAGTGGTAATGATTAACAGGAATAGGAGGATCAGGGGATTCCCTGCGTGGTCATTCCCTCCACTTAGGTTCAGCATTGTCTGTGCTTAGTGTATAAGCCCCAGGGTTGTGCCTGAGGCAGATTTACAGCTGATGGGCACCTTTTCCAGCCCCTTCGTTTTACAGAGGAGGAAGCCGAGTCTCTGAGAATTGAATCGAATCCTCCTGTGTGCCAGGCACCATTCTAAGTGCTAGACTTACCCAACATCTTACAAGCAGTAAGTAGCAAAGCCACAGTTCCAGCTCAGGCCCTCTGACTCTAAATCCAAGATGCTTTCCAGACCCCCCCCCCACCACCACCACCACACACACTCACACGGTCTCTACCTCCCCAGAGACACGTTGCTAGTAAGTGCCACAGATCTCTTCTGTCATGTTACCTCTAAGAGAATTATGATGATGATAACACTACTATTGCTAATTGTTATTATTGCTGTTGGGGTAAGGTTCAGTTATCAATCAATCAATCAATAAACATTTATTAAGCTTCTATTATATGCCAGGCACTGTGCTAGGCATTGGGGATGACAAAAAGAGGCAAAAGACGATTCCTTCCCTCAAGGACCTCACAATCTAATGGGGGAGACAACAAACAAATTAATATATACAAACAAACTAAATACAATAAATAAGAAATAATTAGCAGAGGGAAGTCACTAGAATTATGAGGAGTTGAGAAGGGCTTCTTGTAGAAGGTAAACTTTTGGCTGGGGTTTAAAGGAAGCCGGGAAGGTCAGTAGTCAGAGCGGAGGAGGAAGAGTGTTCCAGGCCTAGGGGATAGCCAGAGAAAATGCCTGGAGCTGAGAGATGGAGTGTTTTGTTCATGGAACAGCCCAGAGCCTGGCATCACTAGATCTATCACTAGTAGATTTGAGAATCACCGTCATAGTAATTAAATCCATGGAAGCTGATGAGATCACCAGATGAAGCAGTACAGAAGGAGAAGAGAAAAGCACCCAGCACAGAACCCTGTGGGGATAACTCTGTGGAGGGCATGAACTGGGAGAGGATCTAGCAAAGGAGACAGGGAAGGAATGGACAGAGGGGAAGGAGAATAACCAGGAGAGAGTAATGTCCTGAAAACCAGAGTGTCAAGGAGGAGAGGTGATCAAGAAGGTCAAAGGCCGGTACATGGGTAGGAGTGAAGGTGGCAGATGGCAGGAGTGACCCAATGGCTAGGCATTCAAGTGTAGAGGGTAGAATTGAATCAGTTCACCAAGGGATCAAGATGGAGAAAAAAGGGGAGAGTGGCTAGTGTAAGGGAAATGGCCTGGGAGAGGATTGAGGGGTGTAGGGATTGGAGGTCACAGTGTGAACATTGAGTAAGGTTATCTGGAAAATTCTCTTACGTAGACAATCCAATTACACGTGGTTCTGGGTCATTGAGATGTTTCTGTACTTGAAAGTTGTGCCTTCTACCTGTCTGTATAAAATCTGAGAGGCAGTTATAGGTCCATATAAAATAATGTTTTTCCATAATAGCATTGAATTGTAGATACAGAAGAGACCTTAAAGGTGGTCTAGTCCCCCTTCCTCCTTAAACAGGTGAGAAACCAGCTGCACGATCACTGGCTTAAGCAACCGCTCTCTTCCTGTCCCAAGGATCCTTCTGCTTCATTTGATCAGAATAGCCAACGGGAGGATAGTGTCAATAAGTAAACATTTTTAAGAGCCTACTGTGTCCTGGGTGTTGTGCTGATTGTTCTTCCCCTTTGATTGCATTCCTTTCTGGTTTTTTCCTCTTTCCACACAGAGGTGCTGGATACCATTGACTTTGTAGCCCCCAACGAGAGAGTCGTTTTCCGTACCTGTGATAGGGAGCGGAACAAGGTCGTCTTTCAGATGGTGAGAGTCTAAAGGCCCTGCCTTGCTCCACTTGGCCCCGCTCCTTCTCCCGCTTCACTCCCTTCTGTCTTTCCTGTGGTGCTCTTGCTGACGCACATTCTGAACATCACCTCTGTTATTTCTAAAGTTTGCTTCCTTAGTCAGTACACTGCCCATATGCAAAGCACATTGCAGACTCTAGAGTGCTGTATAAATGCTATGTTGTTATCATCGTCATCATCATCATCATCAATTATGTGATGACCCTGTTCTGGCCTCTAAGAGCTGAGTTTTTCTCAGGATTATAAACATGTATTACAGTACACTTTATTTGAGCCAAGAAATAGTCTGGTGTATTTTTCTGTTTGAGAATTTAATTTTTGTAAACTTAAAAGGAATAATCCAGCTGTTTAGCTTGAATTATTTATCTTTATTCCCCAGTACTCTTCATTACTCCCTTCCAGGTCTTCATATCAGTATCTTCTATAACTGCTTCTTGGGGCCAGAATTAGTTTTTTCCAGAAATTAATACTCAGATTTTTCCCTTGACTTTTGAAAGATGGATTTTGGGGGAGAGAATTTCTTCTCATGTCTCTACCTCTGGGAGGCAGTGTGGTGCAAGAAACGTTCCCGGGACTCAGAAGACCGGGGGTCACCGCAGTTTGGCCGCTTCCTCCCTACGTGACCTTGGGCACGTTACTGAATCTCTCTGGGGCTCAGCTTCCTCATGCATGAAAGGAAAGATTGGGTGCTGGCTGGGGCTAGATGATCTTTAAGGCCCCCTCCAGTTGTGAGTTTATAATCCTCCCCTTTATTCTCTGATTTGAACATTTCTTGGTGTCTTTTCAAAAGTAGATCCTAAATGCCCTTCTAGCCTTAAAAAGCGTCAGCATCAGCTCGATCCCCTGGTTTTCAAATGTTCTCATCCCTTAAACATTAGTCTTTATACAGCAGCTAATGAATCTGGTGATAATATCCTTTAAAGAGAGAACAGTAGCTAGATTCCTATCTCTCTATGCTTCGTGTGTCTATACGCTTGCCAGGCTTGTTATTAATGTCTTGTTTTGTGTCCCAGGGATCTGCAGATGCTGAGCGAGCCCTTGCTGTAGCCAAGCTTATGTAAGTTCTGCCTGAAGTTTATCATGAGTTTTTCCTTTGCCTTTCTGACAGGCCACTGGAGCTGTGGTTCCTTACCTTAATGTGCATTGGTAATGGTAGTGCTTGATCAGCATCTCAGACTTTGCTCCAGCAGCACTCACTCAGAGTGGGCCATGTACTTTCTGATGGGGGCTGCCTTGGTCCCTCTAATGAACTTTAAAGACAAGGCCAGGCACATGGAAATCCCTGTGACTGAGGTGTACCTACAAAGACCAGAAGAGGATAAGCCGCCTTATGAGTTGCATGGGGCCAACTTTTCAAACATATTTCTTCCAAGATACCAATTAGTCACAAGTATAGCAACATCCACTGAGGCTGTTTGTAAACAAATGTGAGACTTGTGGATCCCTTCCTAAGTCAGGCCAGATTTACTCAAACAACTCCTTTTTCTGAACATGTGGCGCATCTGCTGTTTATATCCAGGACACTGGATAGGAGAGCCTGCTTTCTTCTGCCTTTGTGTCATGGAAAGACTACTAGCTCCAGCACTTAATAGCTGTGTGACCACAGACAAGTCAGTTACCTTTTCAGAGCCTCAGTTTCCCTCTCTACGTAATGCAATTAATCATCCTTGGCACCACCTAACTCACAGGGCTGTTGTGGGGAAAGCTCTCTATGAGTTTGAGCTGTTAGTGTTATTACATGTGCTCTAGGACAGGCCTCCTCCAGGCTTCATTGTGGGGTGGAGGTAACTCTGAGCCTGTCAGAAGAGTGTAAGCCTCTGTAGCCTGAAAGGCTTTACCTTTGGGCTCCCAGAAGGCAGAGTTTGTGTGACTGATCCTCAGGCTAAGCAGCTGCCTTTGGTTCTGAGGGGCTCCTCACCATTAGGGGCATGCACTAAGTTCCTAAAGAAGTTGTGATTTGCCTTGGTGGGGGCCTGCCTGCACCAGAGAAATCATGGATCTTTAAAATGTTGGCATCGTCACACATTGAAAAGAAGGTAGATAATCCCCACTTCATTGAGGACAGCAGAAAGGGCATGTGCCTATCATTAAGGTGGTGGTGTGTGTGCACATGCTGTGCTCCGACAAGCAGCAGCTCCAGGTCAGAACGGCCTTCAGTGACCCGTGCAGAACAGAACCTCTTGCAGGCCGTGTTTGGTGAGCTCCTGTGATTGTGCACTTGAGGTCCTGGGGCATGTGTTGGCTTTGCAGAGGCCCCACCTGAGTGGGGAGTGCTGCGTCTCTCTGTGGCGAGGTAGTCTGGGCTTCCTTCTCTAGCTGTGTCTTTGAGAGCTGTGATCAGACACCACGGTTCTATGATCAGTAAAGTTCCAAAGGCTTCCTCGGCTCCCTTACCGCCAAGTGAAGTTGTTGTGTGTATCCCCAAGCGATGTGTTGGGCTCGGAGGATCATCTGCCAGCCATGTGTGCATGGTGGAGCAAAAGATCTCTGGGCCCCCCTGTGCTTGGATGGGCCTGTGATACCAGCTTGTGAACTCCTCTCACTAGCACAGGTCACAGCCCTCCACATCTTCCTACCCATCCTTGCAGAAGTCCTCCACGGAGGATCCCCCTAGCATGCTGGATGCCTCCTTAGGGTTCTTTTATTTTCTTGGGGGTACCAGTATAGCTCTCAGACTGGCCCTCTGTTGCCTCTAATCATTATTACATGATTAGCCTACCTGCCCCCCCTTGCCTTTTCTTACTTATGATTTCTTCCTTCTTTGAGTTAAATATTTATTCCTTTTGTTCCTTTTTTCTTTTCCTAGAGAGAATGATGTAGCTGGTGTTGACATTAACATGGGTTGTCCAAAAGAATACTCCACTAAGGTAAACTGTTTCCTTTTGCTTTAGATATGCAGAGTGAAATATATATGTGTAATTGTTATACATTAAATAAAATCCTTACGCTTACTTTCTTTATTGAAGTTCATGGGTTCAGTCATCATTTAATCTGGTTTTGTCTTTGAATAGATAGTCCAAATGTGACAGCCTGACTGACTGAAGTGTCCGGGTTCGACAAAATATGTTGTTCTGTAGCCCCAACTCCATAGGGGTAGGAAGATTTGCTTTCGATTTACTTCAGCAAATGTTTGTTGCCTTCTGGACTGTACAGACCTTTAAGTATTTCATTTGGTCCAAGAAGCTGTATAGCTACCCAATGGGACATGAGGCAAAGGACATATGAAAAATGGAGGGCCTTTTGTGTCACTTTTTACGTCTTAGTAGTCGCTGCTAGGACCTAGAAGTCTTACCTGACCAGTGCAAACTTGAGTACTTGGGCTCCATCTGATTTGTCTTCTAGGAACTTCCTATTAATTGTGTAGCACAGAGGTCGACAAACTTCATACAACCTAATGGCCAAATCCAGCCTGTCCCCTATTTTTGCACAGCCCAGAAACCGAGAACACTTTTTACATTTTAAAATGCAACATAATATTTTTTCTATATACAGCTCACAAACTGTACTAAAACAAGAGCCAGGCTGCATGTGGTCCTCAGGCCGTGGTTTGTTGACCCCTGGTGTAGCAGCACCGTGGAAGGGATGTTGGACTTGGAGTCTGGACATCCTGCCTCAGACAGTCACTAAGCCTCAGTGTCTTCTGCTGGTTGTGACTCTCAGTTGAGATAATGTACGTGCAGCTTGAAAGTGCTCTCTCTGTCAGTATTAGCTGTCACTGTTAGGTAAAGAGTAAGGTTCCTTCTGAGAACTGTCAGGAACATCTTCCAGCTCTTCATACTTGACACCTGTCGCCAAGCTAGAGTCTCAAGTCTCAGCTGCAGCTGCATCCAGCATGGCAAGCTGAGCTTGAGTGAGCGAGTCTTTACAAGTTTAATTATCCCTCTGATATTTAACCTGTCTTCCTCAAACATGAAATTAAACAGTCATTATTTAAAATAAACCTCTTGAATGTGTCCCACGGGCATTCATTAATACTTGGCACACATGTTAAAATAATTACTGCTCAAATTCTCTCCTGTCAGCCCCCCACACTGCTGTTATACGGCAGCATGCTAGGTGAGTCATTGGTTTTCACACTGGTTTAGATGCTTTATGGGGCTAATGGCCTCCATTAGTTAAAGCTTGAATTGGATTTGATGTCATAGGTTGAGGAAGAGAGGGAGAGAGCTCATAAAACCTTAGATTTAGGATGTTTGAGGTAAGTAAGAGTGAAACAACTGGATACAGCTGACAAGTTGAAATCTGTCCGGGCCTTCCATTTGTTTTGGTTTTGAATGCTGTTCCTTACTGACTATGGGATTGATGCACACTGCCTCCCAAGCCCCCCTGTCTTTATCCCTAAGATGACTGTGGCTTTTCTTCCATATGTGGAGAAGTTACTAATGAAGAGTAGTGCCACCCCTGATGATAGCTTGAGTCCCTCAGAGGTAGGTCCTTTGCAAGAGTAAAGGCTAATACTGAGAGCTGATAGGTGTATTAGTTGTAATAGGTCTTTTCCCATGTGCTTTTTCTTAAGGGAGGAATGGGAGCAGCACTTTTGTCTGACCCTGACAAAATTGAGAAGGTGAGTAAATAATTCACACTTCCCTAGACTAGACTTTAACATATTTCTATTAACCTCATTTAGATTCCAGAAATTATGTAAAAGCAAATTCATAACCTACCTTTTATTCCCAACTTGGACAAGATACCAAGCAAGGTCCTAACCCTTCCCCACTATATCTTTCCCTGTGCGCACTGGTCAAGTTAGGTGAATTTCTGAGGTTTTCTGCTTACGTTCACTGCTAGGCTGGACATTTATTACTATTCTTAGGGAGTTCAGACCTCACATAAGTCTGAGATAGACCCACAGAGCTTTCACACTGCTAGTAGACAATAATGATAACATCTCATGGAGGGGCACTGCAGTGCAACAGATAGACCCATCTTCCAGCCCTGCCTCAGTGACCAGGATGCATCACTCAACCTCTTAATGCCCTAGGTAGCTCTGGGAGACATTAAGCCACAAGTCAGGTATTAATAACAACAATTAGCATTTATCTGGCACTTTAAGGTTTGCAAAATGCCTTTCAGACATCTCATTTTATCCTCACAACTCTGTGAGGTAGGTGCCATTATTTTCCCCATTTTACAGATGAGGAAACTGAGTCTCACAGCTAGTCAGTGTCTGAGGTCTGATTTGAACTCAGATCTTCTAACCCCAAGCCCCAGTGCTCTACCCCCTGCATCACCTAGCTGCCTCGAAGCAAAAGAATTAAAATAGTAAGTGACCCAAAGAACAATGGAAAGGTAGATGATGGAATAGTTAGGTGGCACAGTGGGTAGAGCACAGGAAGATCTGAGTTCAAATTTGACCTCAGACACTAGCAGTGTAAGCCTGGGCAAGTCACTTAAACTTTCTCAACCTCATTTTCCTCATTTGTAAGATGAGGATAATAATAGCACCTACCTCACAGGGTAGTTGTCAGGATCAAATGAGATGATACTTGTAAAGAGCTTTGAAAACCTTAAAGTGTTACATAAATGCTAATGATGATGATGATGACGATGACATTGGGTATAAATTGGACACAGCACATTACCAACACTGACTTGAGCATAAGAATAGTACATGAGACATCAGAGACATGTATCAGCAGAAGAGGTGAGACAAGCCAGAGCAGAGGGGTGACAGGTGGACAGTCCACATGCTGAACTGTGATTCACGAACAAGGGAATGCCTCCTGTGCTTTGGCTTGGGGTCCTTGGGGCCCTAGACCAAAATAGACCAGGACAGCAGGCCTGGGTGGGCTGCAACCTGAACTGAGGAGATGATGGAGATATCAGATGGAGATACGATAGAATGTCAGCCTTTTGGGTCAAGAGCCAGCTCTACAAGCAGGCAGGCGAGGGAGCTTAGTGGTTCCTGAAGACGGCCAGTCAGAGCTTATTCCAGTAAGCTAAAGCAGTAGAATAGGGAAATTTGAAGGGCTGACTGCATATGAAAACCTTCTGCCCCTCTCTATGAAAGGCACTGATGCGATGGTTCCATTGCAGGATAGAGGGCAATGCCTGCAGTGACATCATTAGGACTGGTTGAACCTTCCTCTCCAATGCTAAGTGCATTGTCTCGGTCTCTTTAAGTCCACCATGAAACAGAATTACAAAATGTAGACGAAACTCAATTAGGAAAATGGACCTTCTAAGGAATTAACATGACTTATTCTTGGCTGAGAAGTAGTTAAGACCCAGGTTTTGTTGGAGGAGAGAGGAGAGAATTTATAGTATGATGTAATCTTGTAGAAAGAAGGCTAGACCTGATGCCAGCTCAGAATTAGCTTTGTGACCCTGGAAAAGTCAGTTCACTTCTGAGCCACAGCTCACGCATCTGTAAAACGGGGCCAGTAGCTCTCACACTGTTTACTTCATGGGTAGTTGTGAAGACAGTGCTCTTGAAATTCGAAGACGTTATAGAAATGTGATGAGCACCTCCCTGTTCTGTGCCCCTGAGTAGCCCATAGTCCAAAGGGCCTGATGGAGAAGCTGAGAGGTTAGCAAGGCATGTTCTCTAAAACTCCTCGGGGCCTTCATCTGCGGCTTTTACATTCTTGAAAAGGTGGTTCAGTTACCACATGAAGCTCTTTCTGAAGTTTACAAAACATGACAGTGCCTTTACCCATACCCGATGAGTAAGAGGGAGCATTATCGGCAGGTCCGTTTAGTTGGATAGGTTTTAAGCTCGGTTGCCATTTTACCACTACTTGTATCAGAGAGTTAGAGTGGGAAGGGTGTTTCAGGGTCATATGGTGCATCCTTTTCCTTCATTTTACAGTGGAAGGGACTGAGGTCCAACAGGTCACCTTGGGAGCAAATAACCAGAGCCACCATTTTAACCCATACCTTCTGACCACTATCACACACATGCACTCACACACACCATGTCTATGGTATGGGGATATGTAGGTCATGTTATTACATCTTAAGAATTTATATAACAACTTACTGTTTTTAATTAAGGAATAAACATATGATAAAGTTACTGTCCCAAATGCTTCTGTTTCTCCCCCTCTCTGTAGATTCTGAGCACCCTTGTTAAAGGGATTTGCAAACCAGTGACCTGCAAGATTCGGATCCTGCCATCGGTAAACACAGTTCATTTCATTCAAAAGAGCTTGTCAATTTCTAATGAAGTTGGGAGGAGGAAGGAGGCACAGAATGAGATGGTTAGATGGGAAGCTCCTTGAGGGCAGGGACTGTCTTTCACCTCTTTTTTGTAGCACAGTGCCTGGCACATAGTAGGTGCTTAATACATGTTTGTTGATTTCGATTGGGGAGGGCAGATAGAGAAGAGCTGAGATCCCTTTGTGAGTTAGGTGACAGTGATTCAGTCCCCATAAAAATTGAGTAACATGTCCCTCCTTGGTCATTTTCCTCAGCTTGAGGACACATTGAATCTTGTAAAGCGGATAGAGAGGACTGGGGTTGCAGCCATTGCGGTCCATGGAAGGTAAGTAAATTTGATGGGAAAGGAGCATTTCTAAGAGAATTTTTCCAGTGGCGTACTGGATCATAGATTTAGAGATCGTTCCACCCAGCCCCTCATTTTACAGATGAGAAAACCAAGACCCAGAGAGGAGAAGAAACATCCCCAAAGGGGCAGAGGTAGGACTTGAACCCAGGGCTGACTAAATCCAGCGGTCTTTTCCTTTGTACCACACTGCTCGTTATGGGAAAGGAATGGATTTTTCTCCGTTGTCAGCCAGATGAGTTTATCCATCCCTCAGCACGAAGCTCCAGCCTTAAATGCTCAGCTCTTATAGCCAGCTCTGTTTAGGAAGAAAATGGGGCAGTAACCCCATGGAAAGGAGCTTAGCATTCTCTTGACATTTTTCTGGGATTGCAGTCTCATGGTCACCTCTTTACCATTATGGGCAATTCTGCTACATCATTTTTATTTGACCTTCTCGGGGAGGTGATTCCTGGGCACAGACCCCATCTGCGGTCACATGAGCAGTGAAGCACATAAGACCCTAAAAGCTCCTCCTATGAGTGGTCCCCTTAGGGTCCCAAAATTTTAAGATGGTCCAAATTTAATAAAATTCCCTAACGAGAGAAGGAAACCAGGGACTGGCATTACTCTTAAGATGAATTTTACAGAAGGTCTTCACTTGTCACACCATCATACAAAATGTTCTCTGCATTGTCCTTGCCCTTGTCCACTGTGGGGCTGTGAGCTTTGGTTACTGAATGGTGATGCAGCCCAGTGATGCCTTTAGGACCTGCTGAGGTGGACAAGGCCGTTGGCCCAAATTCGTTGTTCCCAGGTGGCCTTTCTTTTGTCTTTTCCCTCTGTAGTCACTAGCCACTGTCACTTACCAATGGTCTGAGTGTCTGCTTTAAGCGTCCCTTCCAACCAGTGCCCCTTGGGTTATTACCAGTCAATTGTCTTCCCAAAGCTAATATAAGATTGTTGTTTTCCAAGGAAAACCAAGTATCCAGTCTTGTTCAGTCTTTGAACCTAGTTTCACTCACTATTCTAGTTCCATATGCCCTACCCTGAGGACCCCACGGTGGTGTCACTGCTTTCCTGGGGAGTGCAGCTACGTGGGCTTTAGCACTGCTCCCCAATGTGCTGGTTTCTGAGTTCCCAACAGTCTTCTGGATGGCAGAGGTGGTTAGTAGACTGAGGGTGAGATTAGTGGGGTATTAAAAAGGGTCATAAACACCAATGGCCTCTCTTGGAGATTTTATTCTCCTTAGAGGAAGGTGGAAGAGCCCCTCTCCTGCTCTCCAGCAGCTCTAAGTTCTGGTGCATTGGTCCAGCCACTGGTGGATGATACAGCCCTGCTCTTGCTTCACAATTAAAGGGCTCCAAAGCCCAGAGGACAAGTCCTGTGAAGAATGGGGCAGGCTACCTTCCAAGCTGCGTGCCTCCTGGAATGTGATCGGTAACTGACACAAAATGTCACCATTGTGTCAGAGGGTAAATCATTTACATGTAGTCTTGAAACATCTGAGAAACTTTTATCTTCTTATTGTCATTTTAACTGATAAGTATAAATAACTGCGAGTAACCTGGATCATAATCAGCTGTAAGGGATGGTAAGTAAAAGGCTGTTTTATTTAACTTATGGTGAACTGAGCAAATGATGTGGGGATATCAGAGAATGTCTGAGAATGTTGTATCTGTAATTGAGCCCGAGTCTTGACAAGTGGCCAGAAGCATTTCATATTCACTTGGAGTACTTGTCTATGGAGAGGTTTCCTGGAACACACTAAGGTATTGACGATTCATGTCAATCTCAAAGGTACAAGAGCTGAGGTAACATAGTATCCAACAGCATTGTAAGCAACCTATGGGCAGAATAAGGCTGTAGCTGGTCTGTTGGGTGGAATCTCCTGATGTTAGGACGATCACCTCGGGTTCTCCATTGCATGCATCCTGGTTGGCTCAAGCAAGCTGTAATGAGAACTGACATTGGCTGAGCACAGGGAAGTGTGTGAAGCACTTTGGTTATCTCACTTGAACCTCCCAGGAACCTTGCAAGATTGACACTGTGGGTCTTCTCCTCGCTGTGTAAATGAGGAATTGAGCCTGCTTACATGTGGTTATGTAGCTTGCTTTCTTCTTTCAAAGGCAAAATTTGAACCCAGGGCATCTTCTGCCTTTAAGTTGAACACTTTTCCCACCATAAGCCTCTGCTTCACACCAAAATTTCAGTTAGGGTCTGATTGACTCTGTCATCCAAAGACACCCCACTCAAGTCAAGGGCAGCAAGATTAGCTCTAGACTGATGAGCGCACTCAACCATGTAACACCTGAAGACCATATACAAATTGTGACTCCTTGAAGTATTGAAGCCTACACTCAAAAACTGTAACTTACTCCTTCAGAGAAACCTCTGCCTCTGCCTCCTCTGGGCTTTTCCTTCACCAGAGGCTGAGTCCAGTGTCTCTGATGGTTAATGTAGATTTTGGTAGGGGCCACAGCCAATATTTCCTGTGCTCTTGGTGGAAGGCAATTTGTGCCCAGCTGAGATGGAATGTGCCATTGACGAGCCCTGAGGCTCTCGTAGACAAGGGGCACCAGCCGTGGTCATCCTCTGTACCAGCCCCACAAACATTCTGCACCTCTTCCTCCACCCATAAGGGCCTCATCAGTTGAATTCAGTAGTCATCTCTTAGTGTCTAGTATGGTCAAGGCATTGTGCTAGGCTCTGCTCTAGGGATATAAACACAAAGTAGTCCCTGCCCTCAAAGAACTTATGTTTTACTAGGGGATACAACAGGTGCAGATACCTGCACAGATACAGTGATTTGAGGAGGGAGAAGGCATTAATAATTGGAAGATAAAGATTCAGAGGGGATATATATGAGCACACATATTGACGCATGAAGCATTCTAAACCCATGAAGAAATAATTGTTACTGATTTTTTTCCTCAGGAGAAGTTCATGATGTGGGGTGGTTAGTCTTGAATTGTTTTTCAGTCCCTGAATAACATGTTCTTCACCTTCATCCTCTGTGCTTTCCTGTACTGAGGTTGTTAGCTATTTGAATTGGAAATTCCCTCAAGGACCAGGGCCTATAAGTTTTTATTGATTTTTTTCTTAGATCCCCGAGGTGTCTCCCTTTGCCCCTTCCAGAGAACCACCCCATATAACAAATGGTATTTTTTTAAGAGAGGACAGAAAAGTCAGCACAACTGATTGATACGTTGGAAAATTCTGAAAACGTGTGTAGTGTGTAAAACCTGTGGACATCCCATCTTCCTGAAGGGGCTGGGATGGGGGCATCTTCTCATCTCTTTCCATTGGAGTCCTGCTTGATCTAGATGATTTTGTTACATTTACTTGTGATTTTTGGTGTGTTGTCCTTTCCATTTCCATTGGTTGGAGTCGCCATGTCTCTTGTTTTCTTGGGTCTTCTTACTTCACTGCATCAGTGCATAAAAATCTTTCCATACCTCTCTGTATTCATCACTGTGACAGAATTGCAGTGCTGAAAGGGACTTCCAAGACTATGTAGGGCAGTCCATCCACCTGAACCAGAATCCCTTTCTGACACCATCCTTCCCCCACCCCTCAGGGACCTTGTGCTTCTGCTTTGTGGCTGCTGACAAGGGAGATACCCCCATCTCCTGAAACAGCTCATTTGGGTGTAAATCCTATTGTTAGGAAGGGTTTTCTTACATAGATTGTAAATCTTCTGCAGTCTGCATCATTGTTCCTGGTTCTGTTGTCTGGAGCTAAGCAGAAAAAATTGAATCCCTTCTTCACAGGGTGCAATAGCCCATTAAATCCGTTAAAATAACTGTCTTGTGTTCTCTGAGTCTTCTTTTCTCCAGACTAAACACCTGGGCTCCTTTCTTCTAGCAGCATTTTTGATGGTGTGTATACCAGTCACCTCACTCTCTGGACAGTTTAGTAATGTCATCCTTGTGGCCTGACCAGAGCAGAATGCTCACATCCCTAGAGCACTTTGGAGCTTTCCTCCTGACAGTGCCAAGTGGTCCATAATGCAGGTATTGTTGTCCCTATTTCACATAGGACAAACTGAAGCTTTAAATGCTCTAAGTGGTGTCCAAGGTCATCCATCTCTTCCATGTGAGAGGTAGGACTTCAACCCGGGTCTCCTAACTCTGAAACCCAGCCCTCTGCCCTCTGCCATGTTTACCAGCCTCCTAATCATATGCTCTGGGCAGGCCCACTCAGCATCAAGTAGGCAACCAGTCATTTTGGTCACTTTTTTTGTAATAATGTGAACCTGTCCCATTGACACACAGCCTTGTGTCCCTTTGGTTGATTGGGGGGAACAGGGGAAACATGACGATTTGTTATGCAGGTAGAGTGCAGTAACTTCAGTTAAGCTGCAAAAATGACCAAGTTTTGTTTTATCGAGGGACTGTTCTTGCTATAAAATACCAATTTTTCTACCTTTTCTGTCTAAATCTAGGATTCCATTGTGGTACACAATGCTTCGTACATAATCTGTAGCATCAGTGTTTGTTGAATGAATCTGTGAAATCCTAGGAGCTATATATTCCCAAATACACAGACACAGGGTCCTTAGGATACTCCCCGAATCTAGGGTCTGCCTGCTAGTGATTGATAAAGTTGACACTAACTATCAAGTAGCACAGTAGCTATTTGTGGCAGGCTACACATTTTACAGAACATTTTCATAGCCTGATCTCAGATTCTTTCAGAACTCTCATGTGGGTGCTCTCCCGTCCTAGTGATTTATCTCTATCTCATGTGTTGGTTAGCTCTAGAGCATCCTGTTTTCTTTGCTCTTTGTTTCTGCAGCTCAGACTTGTCTGTATCAAAAGGTTGTTTGGGGGCAGGGGATCTATTAGGCAAAGAATTGATTTGCCCTCTCTACTAACTCATTTTCATCCTTGAATACATACCTTGATTAAGTGGTCCTAGTGATTCTCTAGCTGGCATGTTCCTCTCAGTGTAATTGAAGATTCTCTTTACTGACTTTGAAGGCCCTTGCAAGGTACCTCTTGAATAATTTTTATCCCTCCTAATTTCTAGGTTATTTTTCACTTGCCATGGGATATTTCCTTCCTTCCTTCTTTCCTCCCTTCCTCCTTTTCATTCTCTCTCTCTTCCTCTCTCCTTTCTTTCCTCCCTCCCTCCCTCTCTCCTTCCTTCCCTTCCTGCCTTCCTTCCTCCCCCTTTCCCTCTCTGTTTCCTTCCCTCTCTTCCTCCCTACCTTCTCTTTTTGAAAGATAACCTTTATTTTCTGTGGTAGCCCGTTTGGCTTTGCTAGGTAGCCACACAGGTCTTGGTTTTTCTCCTCTCTGCACCCCATGTTTCTGGTATTTTTCATCCTGGGCTTCCAGTCATTCCACTCAGTTCAGGAAACATTTGGTGGAGATACAATGGTGGAAAATGGCATAGTCCTGACTCTTACGTTCTGCTACGGAGAAATGACATAGAGATAAGAGTAATGCGAGGCTATGGGTTATGAAGAGAACCAGTGATAAACAGAGACATATGAATTGTTATAGGAAAATTTGAGAGGAGAGTCTTTCCTGATGAGATCAGGGATCTTTCAAATTATGTATCATTGCTTATTATCAGCTTAGTTAGGACCCCATTTATCCTTAAAGGCTGGTTTCATGCAGTGGGAATTACATTTATAAGAAATGAAAATTAAAAGCAACTTGGGAAATACATGAATGTCCTGACTAATAATCTGTAACTGGTTTTGTGTCCCATGAACCAGGAGACCCAGTATTTGGACATTGTGCCATCTGGATTCAGTCTCCATGGTTGAAAAAAATGATGGATCCAGAGTGATTCTGATGTAGCCTCAGTGGGGCTAGGTAGGGTGATCCAGGGTCCCTCTCCCCTCCAGCCCCACAGTCTGCTTGGGCATTATACAGACAATAATTCCAGGGCTTTAGTTTTTGTGGCTTCCAGTCTTTTCAGAACTAGTTCAGGTGAGTTATGTTAGTCATGTCCATCTTGTTATTCCGTCACCCACCACTAATGCGTCTTCACTCTTGCCCCATATCGATGTTGTGTTGGGGATCTAGGACTGACAGCATGAGTGGGCCAGAGGTTTTTCCTTCTGCTGCACAGGCATGCACCCTCCCACCTTCCACTGAACCAAAAGTGCCTTCTGGTTTCATCAGAGTCAAGCTTATTTCTGGGACTGTCCAGGAAAAAGCATGGTTGTGTTACCTGACAGCCCAGAGAAAGTTTTGGGTGCATTTTGTTAACTTCAGTGTTTTCTCTCCCTTCTTTTGTTGTAAAGGAAGAAGGAAGAGAGACCTCAACATCCTGTCCACTGTGATATTATCAAAGCCATTGCTGAAGCTGTCTCCATTCCGGTAATAGCTAAGTAAGTTTTTCTTATTAATCAGCAATTCAGAGTGATTCAGATTGGACCTGGATGCTAGCCCATGGAAATGTAGCCGGGGAACAGAGTGCATTTGTAGGAATGGTTCTGCTCGTTCTGTCAACATAGAGGTCATGGGGGCAGAGGGCCAGGAGCTTGGGAAATCCCCTAGGGTCTGCCTGCTAGTGAACATCCTCGGGGATCTCTTCTGAGTTCTTGAGTGGCTCCCAATTCAGGTTTGTTCTGCCTTCTGCAAACCCAGGAACTGGCCCAGGTTCTCCCTTTTCTGGCTGCCACCACTCATTCTTCTAACCAAGGTTTCTCCTCTCCAGAGTCCACTAAACAGGACGCAGCTTTTCCCTCTGTCTCTAAAGCAAACACACACTTTTTTGATGTCTCTTAAGAGTTTTTACTACATAACTACTTAAATAGTTTTTATTGTTACGAGGGAAACAGCTAAAAATTGCAATCTTGGGAAAGTTTAAAGAAATTGCTGCTGTTGGTTGGAATGTAAATAGAGGCAGGCCTAATCATCTCCTTTGGCTCCTTCACTCTGTCATCTTTTTGTTCTTGTCTTGAGAGACAGCCTCGGAAGGTGACCCCCCTTCTAGCTTCTTTTTTGTTCTGAGACTAGTGGTCTAGGGTTTTCTTCTCCATTTCGTATAAGGAGGGTTTAAATCTCAAAGGAAACCCTAGGCCATCATCTCTGTCACATTATCTTCCCATTCCACCAAGGACATCCTTTGAAGTCACTCCTTGAAACAAGGTAAGGCTGTAATCTAAGGCCAAGGTGGAGATGGGGAGGCAGGAGCCAGGGAAGCAGTTGAAGTTAGTAAACATACAGGTACTGAGTGTCACGTCAAAGCACCAAGTCATCAGGTAGGCAGACAACGGCTGGAGGATAGCACAGGATTTAGGGCTGGGGTGTACCGTGTGTTAGGGATACCTGCAGCAAAGAGATACTGATGCCAGGGCAAAAGCCAAAGGTGTGTCCAGTCCAGCCCAGAGCCTGCAGGTAGGACCCTGGGAGCCATATTTGGGAACTGATTGTCAAGTCAGCTTGGCTGAAAGCAGAGGTGTGAGCCACTTCTGCTTGTTTCAGATCCAGTTAGAGTGACTGGTCCTCTCCAAGGGGCAGCGTCTAAGAGAGGGCTTAGAGGTGGTTTTGGGAAAACAGAAACCCTACTCGTTGGGGCCAGCTTAAACTTCGGACCCTGGATCCAGATGTCCAGGTCTGGTTTTTTTATGACTTTCATCCCTGTCACAGAAATGTCAGAGGTGAGATTGTCGGTCAGGCTGCAGAGTGTGGGCATATTGTTAGCAAACTGCTCGGGTTACTGTGATCACCACAGAGTATTCTTGTCTCTCACAAATGCTGCAGCCTGCTGAACTCGAAGGTGCCATCCTCCCCACTTAGCAGCGTGCTGAGACATGGCAGCATGTAGCCTCTGGCTCTGTCGTCTTGTCTTGTTCCCATTTGGGATGCTTGCAGTGTTGGGGCAGGGGTTGGGCTCCCATCGCCACTCTGCTTGATGAGGTTGGCCTCATAATTGCAAACAGCAATAACTCTCTCTGTTGGCTTTCAGTGGAGGATCTCACGACCACATCAAAGTATATTCAGACCTAGAAGCTTTCCGGCAAGAGACTTCAGCATCTTCCGTGATGGTGGCACGTGCGGCCATGTGGAACCCGTCCATCTTCAGGAAGGAGGGCCTGCAGCCTCTGGAAAAGATCATGCAAGAGTACATAAAATACGTAGGTCTCATTACTTGTCAGAGCAGTTATAGAGATGCTAGAAGGAACCTTAGGGATTATGTTGTCCAGCTCACTGTGCAGAGGAGAAAATAGGCCTACCGTGTCAGTGACTTGTCCAAGGCTCTACAGGTAGTGCTGGAGTCTTGGTCCTCTGCTTTATGCATCCCCTGCTTTTTCCATCATACTCCAAATTGTGGTTGGATGTGTGTGTGTGTGACACTTGTAATATAACAGCTGATATTTGTGTTGTGCTTAAAGCTGCTGGATTATTTTACTTATCCTTACATCAGTAACCCTGTGAGATGAGTACCCCAGCATTATCCCTATTTTGCAGATGAGAAAAATGGAAAGTTAAGTGCCTTGCTTATAGTCACAGTGCTTTTCCCTGTTCACCATGCTGCCTCTGGTTAAAGCTTTTTTCTTTAAAATCCTTCTCATTTGGGAGCATCATGTTAATGCACACCCCAGACCTCCTGCTCTGTTGTTTTTTCTCCTTTCTTGGCTTTTCCAACACTACTTTTTCTCTCCCCTTGCTGACTCCACTGAAACAGGGGAGATGCTAAATAAAAGGTCCTTAGAGCGGCTGGCTGGACTGGCTAAAGACTTAGTTGTTTGCCTTGATAAAGACTTGTGTCTGTTGTTCTTTTAAAAAAAGAAAGCATAACTTCTGCCCTTGTGAAAGTAGTAATCTTCAGTGGTAGGGAGAGAAGGAATGGTACAGACATGAATTTTTATGAAACACACAGAATAAACAACTTAAGAACCGGGATGCAACAGCAGATTAACCCACATTAAAATAATACAACCTAAGAGTACACCTCAGTAGAATGAGCAGAGTAGAAGGGGGTTAATGTAACAGCTGTTGTGGACAAAATCATCTCCATGGCGATATATCTTTGGGCTGTTAATCAAAACTGTTTCTAAGAATCTACTGCTTCATTCCCAGAATATTTTAAACCCATGAACTAGGAAGGTGAGATTGGGAGTTAGCTGTTCCTAAGCCAGTTTTCCTTAGGGGGAGGGTTTGAAGGAGCTGCCAGATGCAGTTATAAATAAATCTGTAATGAGTATAAATAGGTGAGGGGCAAGGGTATCACACTTGAGCCTAGAAAATAAGAAGTTGCCAGAATGTTGTTTCTGTATTGCTTTCATCCCACTGACAGAGGGACCTTAGTCGTGTCTTTGACTGGAAGTCACACAGGTTGGCTGGGTAATGCGATGCTGGTGGAGGGATGAATGCTTTTGAACAGGAGTCACCGTGATCCAGTCTGGAAAGAGTCTGGAGCGGGTTTGCTTGTACGGTGAAGGCCAGGTCTAAAAATTGTATGGGGACGTGGTGTGTGCTCCAACAGCAGAAGATTTCACTTGTGAACCTGAGTTTCCTCTTCTGTAAAATCAGAGATTTGGCCTGGACTGAGCTCTAAAATCCTTTCCCCTTCAAACTCTTTGTGAACCTCTATGGTCATCCCCCACACCCATCCCCTTCTGGCCAGTAGCTTTAGGTATTTCAGAAGGGAAATGAGATCATAAGGGAAAAACCAAATTTAAGTGGAACTTGTGAATTTGAAAAACAAAATTGGGTGAAAAAGAGACATTTTCTCTCAAACTTTTTGGTTAGCCTGTTAAGTGACTCCTCGTGTTCTCTTCCAGTGGGCATGTTATCACATAGGAAAGAACCAGCTGACTTGTTTGAGCAAAGCGCCTCTTAGCCTGCCAGGTGTTGCCTGTAGAAAACAAGCTAAAATAATGATTGTAGGTGGCCTTGCAAGCCTCCCTGCCTGGCTGGGGTACACCCACTCCCGGTCTCGCTGTGAGCCAGTAACGGCATCTTTACAGTTGTTGAAGATGCTGAGATAGAGAGATGGATATGCTTGGAACAGGGCAGAATGTGCTTTCACTGCTAAATAGAAGTGCAGGTTGCTGGGGTGAAACCACAATGAGCTGATAAAACAGCCAGAGGAAATGGAATAAGGCTGGGCAGAGCTTTGCAAAGTGAGATGACTCTTCTTCTCTCTCTCTTCTTCCCTGCACTGAAGGAGTATTCACCATGAAAGAAAACATTCTCTCTTTGAAGTGTAGGAAAATCAAAGACTCCTGATTTGTTACCTTCATTTTGGGGTGCAGGGCGCTTCTCCATCCGTAGTAGTCAGGTCTGTGATCTCTCCTGCCCTGCAGAATGAAGGGGCAGCCCCAGGAAGGTGGTGAAGGGAGCTCTGAGTTTGGGGTCAGGGAGCCTGTTTAAACTCTAGCTCTGCCACTCACCACCTTGGGCTAGTCACATGAGCTGACTTGTGTAAAATGAGAGAATGGAATGACATGGCCTCTTCCATATGAGAGAATGCGTCAGAGGTGAGGTGCGTCCTACTGCACATGGGTCTGGCTGATGACTCGGGTTGGCAGGGGCTTTCCTAGGAGGTAGGAGCTCTGAGGGTCCCACTCATTGATGAAGGACCATGTGCCCACCTGGGCCTCTCTCCACTGCCTCTCCATCCTAGGAAACATGAATTGCAGAGTTTATTCATCATCTGTGAAGCACCCTGAAAGCTACAGGTTAGGGAAAGAAAAACAATAGAGATAGCAGACAGCTCTTCATCCTCTCTCACGGCATCCTTCCCCCTCAAGTTTGGCTTCTGATAGGTGGCTCTTTACCCCATACTTAGAGGGATCAAACACTTGGTTTAAGATACAACTTTTTCTGTGAGACTAAACACTCTTTCCTGTTCATAAGAGGAGCCAGGTGTGTGAATTCCTCTGAAAATTGCCTTGGAGGGTCCCTTCGTAGTGAGGGAGGGGCCACCCTTGGTGTCAGAAACTTGCATTCAAGTCCTGACTTTGACACGGCCTAGCCATAGGAACTTAGACAAGTCAGATGGTGATCGTCTCACAGGGTTAGCATAAAGGAACCACTTTAAAAACCTTAAAACACCATGTAAAGTGAATTATCATTATTGCTACAACCCACAGTGGTACCAAGGAAGCTGATCTCTTGTCACTACTCAAGAAAAGTCCCGCCACCTTCCTGGCCCAGGCAGGAACCATAGGTCAATCATTGGTCTGTACTGCAAAGGGCCTCAGAAGCCATCTGGCCCAACCCTCTCATTTTACAGATAAGGAAGTTGAGACAGGATTTGAACCCAGGTCCTCTGACTTCAGAGCCTCATGAAGGGTCATAAAAAGAGGGGTCTCCTTCCTCTCTCACCCTGCACACGGTCCCTACGCCTCGCTGACCCCTCCTCAGCGCCGAGTCTCATTCTTTCTTCACTTTTCCTCCTAGGCGGTGAGATATGATAACCACTACACCAATACCAAGTACTGCTTGTGCCAGATGCTGAGAGAACAGTTAGAAACTCCCCAGGGAAAGAAGCTCCACGCTGCTCAGTCTTCTCAGGAAATCTGGTGCGTATGGGGGACAGTCAGAGAGATTTACCGCCTAGGGAAGAAGCCCCTAGACCAGAGGCAGGCCGAGTGGTGACCGGGGTGGAGGTTCATTTCTTTCCTCCAAGGTCCTTGTCAGACACATCAGGGATTCTCAATCAGTCAGTCAGAAATTTATTGAGCACCAGCTGTGTGTGGGACCTGAGAATATAAAGACAAAGACCAAATCAATCCCAGCTCCTAGGGAGCTTCCATGTTCCCTGGAGAGGGCCAGGCAGGGCCCCTCTAAAGAGTCCCTGAGGCCTCAAGGAGCTCCCTTGGGCCCCCAGGACCTGTCCCAGAGGAGCATAAAATCTGGTCCCTGCCCTTGAGGGACATAGATACAGAGATGAAATAGCGGCAGAAGGCTGCCGTGAACATGGGCTGGTATGAAATGAGAGGTCTCTATGGTTGTTGTAAGTGTTGGAAAAGTTAGGAGGACAGAGATGGTACAGGATCGACCAGTCTAAGAAAGGGACCTTGTTCAGTGTCATTCCAGGCCAATCCGAATCCCTTGTACAACATCCCTAAACAAATGGTTGTCCAGACATCCCTGGAACCCTGTACTTGAAGTGTGGCCTCTGGGGCAGCTTTCAAAGGACTTATTATAATACAGCCGTGTACCTTGAAGCTGTGCTTTTCTTAATGCAGCTCAAGATTGCAGTAGTTTTTTTGGCTGCCACATCACACTGCTGACTTATCCATAAGTTCTCCAGAGCTTTTTCAGATGTGTTACTTTATATATTTCAGAAGGGAAATGAGAACCCAAATGTAAGTTGAACTTGTGAATTTGAAAAACATAAAACTGGGTAAGAATGGGATGTTCTCTCTCAACTCTTTTGGTTAGCCTGTCAAGTGACTCCCTATGTTTTCTTCCAGTGAGCCTATTAGTAGGTATTTAATAAGTATTTGTTGAGTTAAATTGAATACAAGGAAGTGAAAGGTTATGGTTGTGGAATATTGGGTATACTGTCAAACACAAAGTGTTTGTTCTTTGAATTTCTTTTTTTCCTCTTTTTGGATTCTTTGTTGCTAGGAATGGTTCCCCAGGTAGGGAATGAGAAGTGATATATTTGGAAATGAATCAATAAAAATATTTTTAAATGTAGTGTAATGGTAGGAGGGAAGGTTGGAGAGGTAAATTGCAGTAGGTGGTGATGCCACTGTTATCACATTGGAAAGAAACAACAGACTTGTTTGAGCAAAGCTCCTCTTAGCTTGCCAGGTGTTACCTGTAGAAAACAAACTAAAGTAATTATCATAGGTGGCTTTGCAAGTGAACCTCACTGCCAGGTCCCCCATCCCATACTGGTGAAATTGATTTTTTGAACCTATGCAAATCTTTACATTTACCCCTACTCAGTTTCGTGTTATTAAATTCAGCCCAGTGCTCTACTTGTAAGGGACAGTGTGGGTGGAGCTCTGTTCTAGGCTAGGGGAAGATATAGAGTGTAGATAAGACATAGTGCCTGCCCTTGTGAAGCTTGAAAGTCTTAGAAGAGAGAAATGAGACACACATAGAGATGACGAGAACATTCAACATCATACGATAAGTGCATTAAAGAGAAGCAAAACGAAAGTATTGTGTGAGGTCTGAGTGGGAAGGTCTACCAGCCAGAGGGTTCAGAGAAGGCTTCCTAGGCTAGAGCATGGCTTTAGAGTTGGACTTTAAGTGATGGCATACTGGCAGAGGGTGGTTGGTGCTTTCCCCTCATGCCAAAAGTCATCTAGACTCTTTAGGTCACTGCTGGCCAGAACGGACGAGAAGGACTACTCCTTATATTTCTGAGTCTGTTTCTTGGGGCAGGTGGTGGTTGAGTGAGTGACCACATTGGCTCTGAAGGCAGCCTCGGTGGGAGGTGAGAGAAGGCGGTTGTCCTGAACGTTAGGCTCTGGCCAAGTGCGTGGCATTTATTGGACAGAAGAAGGTGAGCTGTCATTATCTGATAGAAGGCTCCTTGCTGAGCTCCCAGGGCTCTCTTCTCCATCTTTGCTGAAACCATGTGTTTGGTGGGGCAGGAGACACACTCATTGCCCTTAGAAAGGTTGAGAAGCAGTCTTGCTAGTGTATCTCCCTTGTGTTTGTAAAGACCCTGCTAAGATCAAGATTAATTCGATGGTCTAAAGCCTCTAGTTTGGGCATAGTTAGCCCCTTAGTACCCCAGCAGCATCAAGACAGCAAGTGGACCCTTCCTTACTGGCCAGCAGTTGCCAAATTGTGCATTTCCAAGGGGCCACAGTGCCTCCTCGTGGTGGTGATGAACCATTGCAACCAATTCAAACCCGTACCAGTCTAGGATATTTGGTGGCCTAACAGCAACTGTGTGAGCCAAGGAACTGGTGAGATGTGGCATGTGGTAATAGGAGTGTAGCCTGGCAGGGCCCGGGGAATGAAGAGGACAGAAGGAGAGCACACACCGGTTGGGGAGGGAGGGAGCGCCACATTTTTCTGGTGCCCGCTGAGAGGCGGCCATGCTGTGTGTTGCTAAGGACGCTCTGCTGTCTTCCACAGTGACGCCTTTGAATTGGCCAGCTTCTACGAGAAGACGATCGCAGAGTTGGCAGCCAAAGCAGCCACACTCCAAAATGATGCGCAGGAGGAAGATGACCAGGCTGGAGACGCTGATGTCATCAAAATGGCGGTGAAGTTTGACAAGTAAGTCATAAGCTCGTAGGCAGGAGGGCACTCCAGAAGGGACGGCAAGGATTGCCTGGAGGCAGCGTGCTCCAGTGATGGAGCCCTAGACTTGGGTTCGGATCTGTGTAAGACACTTACTAGGTATAGAATGATGAACAAGTTCTTAGCCTGCCAGAGCTCCAGTTTCCTCATCTGGAAAATGGGGATAATGATTACTGTACCGCTTACCTCACAAGGTGGCTGTGAGGAGAGTCCCTACGCAACCTGAACATGGTGCATAAAATCTGATTGTTGTAGAGTTATCGTTAGCAAACCCCTTCATTGTATTAATAAGGAAGCTGCTCAAGCCTTTACTGGGGGCCTAGGGCTGAACCTGATTCATCATCTTTTCTAACCCCGTGGAAACAACTTTGACCTTCTGGGATTCTTTCTCAAGGTGTTTGTGTTGAGTTGTGTGACCTCTGCAGCAGTTCTTTGAGCTCAGAAGAGAAGTTTTTCTTGGCTTGCACTATGAAGCTCCCCTCACCCCAAAGGAAGCTCAAACATTTCTTGATGGTTTTTTTATTCTTGACTTGACGGTTTCATTATGGGCATATCTCTCCCAAGAAAGAGCATCTTTCTGAAAATAGAAGCCTTTTTTTCTGGTGAGAGCCTATGATGGTTGCCCTCCCCTGTTATCTTCCTAGTTGAGGGATCAGAAGGGGGCATTATGCAATATCAGAAGAACAGCATATTGCTGACTAAATCCAGGAATCCATCTTCCCTCGCCCTCCCTTCTTCACTGCCGCTGCTGGGCCCTTTGGCTGGAGATAGCTGGCTGCCTCTCAGGGCTCTGACGGTCCAGGACTGTCTTCCTTCTCCCCGCCCATGCCCCCATTCCCATGCCGCCTCTGCCCTCTGTGAGCCCTTCTGTTTTCCTGATGCTGCTGTCCTTAGTTAGACTGATCATCCTGTTGTGACAGCTGCACAGGCTGCCTGGGGTGCTCCTGCTGGTTTTCCCCTGTGAGTCGCTTTGCGTTGAATCATGAATTTCATCCCTACGTGTGATTCTCCATCCTTTGTGAGCTGGGATCTGTCCCTTCCCCCAAGCCCTGAGGGAAGGTCTGTTGGTTGCAGGGCCTTCATTCTGGAGGCAACTTCAGTGACCAGGGGCAAGGGACATGCCTTCCTGTGTGTAGAGAGAAGGCCTCAGGAGCAGTAGGGCTGGCCATCCTCTTGGGAGAAGGCCATCGGGTGACAGAGGCGGCCGCTGACTTAGCAGAATATCCAAATAACAAGACACGTGGAATCATGATGCTTTCATTCCTCTCCTGCGCCTCTCACATCTGTACGGGTGCTTCTGCACCTCCTGCATGAGCGCCGCTGCCCAGCGATTGCCTGACTCCTCCATCCTTCCTCCTTCTCTCTTCTCTTCTGACCCAGGCAGTGCTGCTGGACATCATCAGCAGGGTTGGGCGTGCTCTTCTTGGGAGCTGGCATGGCTCCTTTTGGGCTGCTGTCACTCCCTGGTGGGCAGGTGGACATTGGGATTTGGATCTGGGAGGGACCTTTGAGGTGATCTGGTCCAGCACCAAAGAGGTCGCATGGCATCACGCTGCAACGCTGGCGTCAAAGCTGCGTCCTTAGACGTTACAGCCAGTACTTTTTTCTGCTTCCACAGTGGTGGGACTTGGGGAGTGTTCCAGGGGATCCCGGGTTCTCAGCAGATCAGTGAGAGATCAGTGTTGCAAGGAGAGCTCCCCAGACATGGTGGTTCATTCCCTCAGCCCATCCAGCTCCTTGCAGTCCTTCCTCTGTTCTTCAGAACCAGACATTTGAGATCCATGAGCATCAGAAGGGAAAAGAGAGCAGCTGGGAGCCACCTGGCAGATAAATTGCATGCATTACAATGCATCCTTTTGTTTGGCTGCACCCAGCAGGGAAGGAAAGACAGTGAGGACTGGTTGACAGTCTCTTCCCCTTTTCCCTTTCTTCCACTCTCCACAAATGGACCATTTTTTACTTCTTTTCTCCTTCAGGAGACAGTACCCACCCCAGATCACACCTAAGATGTGCCTGCTGGAATGGTGCCGGAAGGAGAAGTTAGCCCAGCCAGTGTATGAAACAGTGAGTTGGGGGTGGGGGGAGTCTGTTCTGCCATGCCTGTCGGTCTGGTAGGCTGCAGGGGAAAATGCATTTCATGTCTGCTTCGGTGAGTTAGGGGAGGCCTATTTGGGGCAGCATATTAGCCCAAAATTAGCTCAAAAAAGCCCATATGTGGTTTGGTGGGAGTGGGGAGTGAGTAGAAGTCAGACTGGTCCCCGTGTGGGTCCAGAGAGCTTCCCTGAGTCCATTCACACCAAATCATCTAAGAGGCCCAGACCACTCAGTCTAAAACTGAGAGGGCCCTTCTGGAGACCCCACCCCATCACAGGGCAGGACATTGACCATGTCCTCCTGGTCCAGCTGGTGAATCCTGATTAATTTAAAAGTTAACTATTGAATTGGAAGCAGTTACCCAATATCTGGCATATGCCACTGTCATAATTGTTTCTTAGGTGATGATGTAGCGAGGCAAATTTTGACCTGGTTGACCGAACTAAAGAATTAATAGGTCAACTTAGAAGGCGGTTTCTAGTGGAGGGTCTCAGGGATCTCTCCTGTGCCATTCAGCATTTTTTTATCAGTGACTTGCAAGGTTAAAGAAATAAATGAAGTTCTTCCAAGTCTACAGATGACAAAGCCAGGAGGGGAGCAATGCTGGGGGTGACAGAGCTGGGTCAAAAAGATCATATATATATATAAGATCAAACAGGAAACCAAATCGAGTAAGACCAGATTGGATGGGGATAAATGTCATGGACTTGGCTTCAAAAAACTAGCTGCCCAGAAAAGGAGGAGAGGAGGTGTAGCTAGGCAACCATTGGTGTAAGGACGTTCTGGGAATTACTGTCTATGGCAAAATCAGTATGGTTCATCAGGGAGATAGCACAGCCAGAAATATTACCATGTTATAGGGCGGCCTTAGGACAGGCTCACTGCCCATGGTGAGGAGGGGATCAGTGGATTCTTCCCTAGACAGACCAGATTGGATGGAATGGGGTGCTCAGTGCAGGCGCCCCACTATAGGAAGAACATCGGTGAGCCAGAGGGTCACCCACAGATAGAAGGACTGGCCTCCCTACCACGTGAAGAAAAGTGGAGAGAGCCAGCAAGGTGACCTGGGCAGAGGTAAATGTGACTGTCCAGGTATCACCGAGCTTCGTTAGATGAGACCCGGGACTGAACCATGGCTCTGAATGGGAGAGATGATGATGGTGATGATGATAGCAGCAGCATTGATCTATGCTTTACCGAGTATCTTACATATACTTTCTCATTGGATCCTTACAGCAATCATGGGGCATAGATGCTATTATTACCCCCATTTTATAAATGAGGAAACTGAGGCAGACAGGTTAAGTGATTTGCCCACAGTCAGCTAGTATATGTTTGAGGCCAGATTCAAACTCGGGGCTTCTTGATTCCAGGCCCATGGCTGTGTCTACTGTCCCACCAGCTGCCTTAGAAACATGATAGGCTGTTTTGTAGCATTGTACATTAAGAAGGTATACTCATATTAGGAAACCCAGGATCCAGTGGGGAAGTGTGGTGGGGGGCACTTGGGTAAAGATCAATGGAGGCAGAAACGGAAGTGGTTTTTTTCATTAACGTATTTAACGTAGCACGTAGACAAAGGAAATCAGCGAGCTCAGGAAGCAAAACAGGAGCCTGGCCCAGAGGCATGATCTCCTAGTGGTGGAGGACTTCAGTTATCCAGACACCTGTAAAGGCAGAGCAGCTAACAACTGCTTGGATTGCTTTAATTATTTCATCCTTCAAAAGGTGGAGGAAACACCAAAAAGACATTCTAGTCTGGATCTGATTCTCACCAATAAAGAAGAATTGATTGCTAAGGAGAAAATGATGGGAACGTTGCAGGGAAAAGTATTGCAATGTTCCTTAGACTTTGTGACAGAGAAGGAAAGGAAAGCCATGTATAGTCTGACATTCACCTTAGTTTTGAGAGAGCATATATATTTCAGGAAAAGATAAATAAGATCCTATAACTAAAATTCTAACAAGGGAAGACAACCCAGAAGGGATGTGAAACTCTCAAGAATTAAATTTTAAAGTCATACAGAAAAACAATTCCAGTAAGAAGAAATAATGGGAATTGTCTAAAGAGAACAATATGGGTACACGGAGAGCTTACCCGCCAACTTAGATTTTCCAAAGATAAGTAGTGACTATGGAAGCAAGGGCAGGGAACAAAGTACTGATACAAAAGACTGGCACTGTGTGTGCCGTAAGAATGGTGTCAGGCATGAGAACGAGCTGAGGTTAAGAAGGAAAGCTAAGGACGGCCAGAGGAGGGAGTGAGGAAGGCAGCTGTATTTGGGGGAGAAGAGGAGGCTCATGGGATCACAGGCTGAGAGTCTCAGTCCAGTGCCCTCATTTTACCATGAGTAAGCTGAGGAAGAATTCATTCCAGGGGATTCCAGTGCTCTTCTCCCCTGCAACTCTCTCCCTGACTTTTGGACTGGAAAGGACGGAACACGAATGGCTAATAAGGAGTTGATATCCAGCCTCCATTAGGGCACTAAGAAGGGGTGCTTAGATATCCTTGGTGAATTCAGGTCATCTGGCCCGATGAGCGTCATATTCGGGGAACGAAAGGACTCATGACTTTGATTGCTGAGCCACTGTCAGTGATAGATGAGAGATTATAGTGAACGGCTGGGTGACACAGGACTGGAGGACAAATGTCCCAATTCTGCAAAAGGGGAAGCAGATAGAATCTGCAAGCTATACATCCACGAGCTGGACTTCAATTCCTTGCAAAATTCTAAAGCATTATTAAAGGGATAGCGAGAGAGCGTGTAGAAAAGGGAGCAGTGATCACAAAGAGCCAGCGTGGTTTTGTCAAGAATAGAACATAAAAGTCCAATCGTATTTCCTTCTTTAAAAGGGGTCCTGAACTGGTCGATCGGGAAAATGCATATAGTTTGCCTATTAATGCCATTAATGGTGCAATGTCCATTTGGAGGTGGGTCCCCAGTGGATTACACCTAAGGATACGTGCATGGTCCGCTTCTCAACATTTTTACCAGTGATTTGTTGAAGATGCTTGGATACAAATATCCTGCTTATCAATTTACATATGGCACAAACCTGAGAGGAATAGCTAGCATTTTGGCTGGTGGCCCAGAAAATTTGGGGAATGTAATAAATTGACATTTAATGGGAATAAAATGTGAAGTCATATTTGAGTCTTTAAAAATTGGCTTCACAGTTTTAAGAGAAGAGACATAGACAGCAGTGGTTCTGAGAAAGATGTAGGAGTTTCTGTATACCGCAAACTCAGTGTGAGTCCATGGGGTGATAAGGTAACCAAAAACACCACTGCAAAGAGGACTGTATTGAGAGAGGCCTGGCTTCCAGAAGTGAGGAAGTGGCATCTCTGCACTGTGTCTGGGGCAGACTACTTCTGGAGTGCAGGGTCCAGTCAGGGGGGCCACACTTTCAGACAAAATGGATAATGGAGAAGACACATCCGGAGAATGGCCTCATTCCCATATGGGCCATACCAGAAACTGGGGAAGGAGCTGGGGAGGGTTAGCTTAGAAAAGAGAAGATGGCTCTGGGGGAGGCATGGAGCTGTTCACAGGGACTTCAGGGGAGATGAGGCAGTGGACGGAAGGGGCAAAGAGGCAGATTTAGGCTGATGAAAGGAAAAGGTCTTAGTAGAGAACTGACCAAAGTGGGATGGGCCATATCAGGAGGGGCTGGCTCATTCTCGTCCAAGCTCTTCAGTTGTGGCTTAGTGACCATTTGTCAGGTAGGTTGTTGTAAGGTTTAATCAGATTAAACGGCTTCTGAAGTCCTTTCTTTTTGAATTAGTTTGTGGGAAAATGGTGGTGTCCATGACATAAAGGAAGTTTAGGAGAACGTTTTGGAGGAAAGATAATGAGTTCTGTTTTGGACATAGCTATTTTGAGGTGCTTATGGGGCATCTAGTTAAGATGTCCAAAAGGCATGGGGCAGCTAGGTGGCGCAGTGGATAGAGCACCAGCCCTGGATTCAGGAGGACCCGAGTTCAAATCTGGCCTCAGACACATAATACTTATTAACTGTGTGACCCTGGGCGAGTCACTTAACCCCATTGCCTAGCCAAAAAAAAAAAAAAAAGATGTCCAAAAGGCAGTTGGTGATACATGACTGGTGATGAGGAAGGGGACTGGGGCTAGAGGCACCGATTTAAGAATCATCTTGGATGTGATCATTGAACCCATGTGAACTAATGAGAATACCGAGGCAGATAGCATAGATGTCAGTGATGTCAGACTCCACTGATCCATACATAAGGACCCCTGAGGGCCTTTTGAAGTGTAATATTATCTATTGTACTGTTATTTATTTTGTTAAATATTTGCCAGTTACATTTTGATTTGTCTGGGATGGCACGTGGCCTCAGGCTGCGTGTCTGATGCCTCTGCTAGGGAGTGACAAGAGAAGAGGGCCCTGGGGAAAGGCCTGGGTGAAGACCCAGCAAAGGGAGGGTCAGAGGGCTGGGAAGATAGCCGAGAGCTGTGCCACTGCACCAATCACAGAGGAAGGACACCGAGAAATGGCAGTGAGGAAAGTAATGATCAGATTCCTTCTGTGATACAAGTATGGTCTGAGATCTCAATGAGGGAGAGTCAAAACAGAAAGAAAAATATTGATACTAAAATTTTAGATAAAATATTGGCAAGGACATTGCAGTAACACATCTCAAGGATGATGTACTCTGACTAGGCCAGATTAATATCAGGAGCACAGAGATGGTTCAATATTAGGAAAATTATAAACATAATGACCATATTCATAACAAGAACAACAAAAATCAATAGATGCAGAAAAGGCTTTTTGACAAGACACAACGCCCATTCCTGTTAAAAACACTAGAAAGTATAGAAATAAACAGATCTTTCCTTGATATGATCAGTAGCATCTTGTCTAAAACCAAGAGCCAACATTATCTGTAATGGAGATTAACTGGAGGCCTTTCCAATAAGGGTGTCCCATTATCACTGTAATTATTCAATGTAGTGCTAGAAATGCTAACTGTAACAATTGGACAAGAAAAAGAATGTGAGGGAGTAAGCATAAGAAAAGAGGAAACAAAACTATTACTTTTTGCAGAGGATGCAACTAAAAATCTAGAGGGCCAGCTGAAAAAAAGTAAATGAAAATAAACCCACATAAGTGATTGGCATTTCTATGTTACCAACAAAATTCAGTGGGAAGAGATAGAGAAATTCCCATTAAAGTAACTACAGAAAGTATGAAATAATTGCTAAGACACGCAGGAATTATATGAACACAATGACACAGAAAAGTTATGGTCATTTAACCTCTGTCTGCCTCAGTTTCCTCAAGGTAGTAGCAGCTAGCTCCAGGGTTGTTGTGAGGGTCAGTGACACCCTCATGTTGTAAAGCTCATACCAGAGCCTCAAGCTGTTGTTAGATAGAGGACACAGATTTGTAGTATACCGGTCAGTCTGCCTGTGAAGGAGTAGGCAAAGGAGCAGCCTGGGGGGAGGAGCTCTTTCATGTGTTCCCAGGGACCCTCAAGGTGTTGGTGCCTGCAGAAAACATTGCTTTAGGCTTAGCCGCAAGGGCCCACCTCGGTTCTCCGAGGCAGTCACCTGCGGTCCCTGGGCCCCATCTCAACTCTCCCCATCTAGATCCAGAGACCACTGGACCGCTTGTTCTGCTCCGTTGTCACCGTTTCTGAGCACAAGTACCGCTCAGCACTGTGGTAAGTAGCAGGATCTCACTTTCTCCGACCTGCTGCCCCTCTGAATGTTCCTGCCCCACCCAGGGTTTGGGCAGAGAGGCAAGAAAGAGTAGGGAAGAGAGAGAACGAGAGACTTGAGTTCCCAGCCCCCACCTCTTCCTAATTGACCCTGACCGTGATCCTCAGCCTCTCTGAGCCTCAATTTCCCCATCTGTAGACTGGAGATAATACCACCTCATCAGCCCAGGGGCAGGCAAAGACCAGTTGGCCCCCACCGGTCAGTCCCTCCCCGGCCCAGCATCTCAGACATTGCCTCTCTCTGTGCCTGACACCCAAAACAGCTGAAATATCCAGCCATCACCAAGTAATATTCCTAATGCTGGGTATTTCCTCTCGTGCCTCGGGATACAAAGGCAGCATGGGAAATAGTCCTGTCCTCAGGGAGCATCTGTTTGTCTGGGAAAGCAACATGTGCCCAGATAAGTAAATAGAAGAATGGTTTTTGGTTGTGACCTGAGATGTGAGTAATGCAGGAAGCAGCCAGTGTGGACATGCCCCCACTGAGGCAGATCTGCAAGTCTGGGCCACTGAGGCCCCCAGACACACAGCTAACGTAGGTCAGAGGCAGGACCTAGGTCTCTCTCTGGCCCAGAGCAGCTCCCTACCTGCTCTGCCACCATGTAGAGACAGTCTTTGTCAATAATGTTGTGCCTCATTGAGGGTAAGGGGTGAAGGTGCGTGCCGAATTTGTTTTACGCTTCCCCTGTGACCACTAGCTGACAGACCCTTGGGGGACCATGAGGAATGATGTCCTTAGCAGTTGGGCCCCAGAGGGGAGGGGTCCTTGGAAGCCAGCCTTCTTCAGATCAGGCTCCAATGAAGAGCCCAAGGCCTGAGACCTTTGCGTCACCTCCTGTTGCTCTGTGCCTGGTCCTCTTCTAGGGACAAGTCCAAGAAGCTGGCGGAACAAGCTGCAGCCATCGTCTGCCTGAGAAGCCTAGGGCTTCCCGAGGGGAAGCTGGGTGATGACGCACAGAGTCCCCGCATTCACAAGCGCAAAGTGGAGGAGAGAGAACTTTGGAAAGACCAAGAGAATGAGAAGGCCCTTCCTGGAGGGGCCCCTCACAAAAAGCCCCACCTGACCCCGGGGACCAACAACAGTGCTCCTGACAGGCCGTGACTCTCCTTCACCTTCATGTACGCTCCCCACTGCCGCCCCAGGATCCCTGTGGACCCAGAACATGGATCGATCTGGGGGAGCCCCCAGGTGGGAAGCTCTGGGACTTCTGGAAGGAGTGGCCGTGGGTGTAGGTGGGGCTCAGGGACTGGGGCATGGAGCTGCCCCACCCCATCAGGTGCTGGGAAGCAGAGACTTGGATGGTTTGGTCCGGCTTACCCTTCCATAAGACAGGTCTGAACACTACTGGAGGGAGTGGAAGGCAGCCATTCAGAACGTGCATAAGCCAGTGACCAAAGACCTTCGGGTTCACTATGGACTTGGGATGGGCGGAGGGGGTGGCGGGGGTGAACATTGAGTAATTCTGTGTCCTGGGGAGGGAGAACAGAAGAGCTGGAGGCCTGGAGCTGGGGGGAGGGGGAAGTTGGAGAGGACACAGGAGGATGTCGTCTGGGGCTGACAACGCAAGTCCAGAGTCCGGGAATCTTCTGTGGTGCCCCGGCTGTTCCAGGCACCCTTTGTTTTCCTCAGTAAAGATGGCCCTTTCCACTGAGTTGAGCCTTCACCCCTATGAGCATCTCAGCCCTCCTTGAGGCTACTGGAGGGGCAAAGAGGGCCTCCCTCCACTGTCACTAGTAGGGTCTTCCTGAGCTATGAGGGTCCAGGTGGGGAAAGAGCAAAAGAGTTTCTGCCTTTCCTCCCACAGCACCACTCACCCACACCTTCTACCCTACCTCCCAGGGGAGATAGTTGAAGCAAGTGAAACAGTGTCTACTTGGGGAAGGTTCCCCCCATCCCAGTGGTAATTGGCTGCTATCAGCCACTAATCATCTTTGCTGCTGCTAATTGGGAGACCCTGGGAACAGATGGATAGAGTTCTGAGCCCTGGTAACTTGAACTGATGGTCAGAGCCTGGGCAGCCACTGGAGCATAGAACTATGACTCCTGACTCTGATGGTCGCAAGGACCCTCCTGCAGCTCTGATGATGCTGAGGGAATTGGGAGCTCTTAGTCCTAACGAAGGATGAAGAGTGTCCACAGGGCCCTCTTCCTTGCCCCCATGCTGTCTTCATTGAGGAAGATTGTTTGGGTGGGTTGGATGTCAAGGAGGAGAATTAAAAAAGGGTTAAGCAGTCTTCTGTGTCTGCGCTCCTATCTGCACAGTTAGAACAAGACCAAAGGCCCATTTTATTAATAGGAATACTGACAAATTGAAGGTAAAAATGATTCTTGGAGCATGAGTGGAAAAAAATACTGCAGCCTTTTGAGAACCTTTGCAGTGCCATATGTAGGAAGAAACCTTGGATTTTAACCTGTCTTGGGACACTTGCTGATTGTGTGCTTTTGAAAGTCACTGTCCTCACTAAGCCACCTGAGAGGATGAGATCTCCAGCTATCCATTTCACAAGGTCTTGAGGCAAGTACTTTGTAGAAATAGGAGCCAGTCAAAGGAGAGATGAGCAAAATTGAAAGTAAACCCATTGACCTAATAAAACTAGGAGCTGGTTTAAAAAAAAAAAAACCCACACAATGAAATGGATAAGCCGTTGCTAATATGATTAAAAAGAAAAGAAAACCAAATTACCAGCATCAAAACGGAAGGTGAATTCACAGACAACAAAGGGGAAAAAAAGCAATTATTAGGAGCTATTTTGCCTATCTGCTAATAAAACTGACAATCTCAAATAAAATGGATGAATATTTGCAAAAATATAAATTGTCCAGATTGACAGTAGAGGAAATAGAATATTTAAATAACCCTATCTTAGAAAAAGAAACTCAACAAGCCATAAATTAACTCCCAAAACAAAAATCCCCAGGACTGGGTGGATTTACAAGCTAATTCTACCAGACATCTAAAGAACAATTAGCTCCAGTACTACACAGACTCCGAAATCAAACAATAGGCAAAAATGGAGTCCTAAAATTCCTAATGTGACACAAATAAGGTCTTGATACCTAAACCAGGGAGAGTCAAAACGGAAATAAAACTATAGACCGATTTCCCTAATGAACATGCAGAAAATTTAATGAAATGCTAACAAGGACATTACACAATATATCACAAAGATACGCTATGACCAGGCTGGATTCATACCAGGAATGCAGGACTGAGTCCATATTAGTTAAGTATAATTGGACACAGAACTAAAACAAAAATCGTGATTATTTCAATAGATGCAGAAAAAGCTCTTGACAAAATAAAAGCTAGTAGTTTTGTCTCCTGCTTGGCCCAGCACTTGTTCTGCCATAGGAAAAGATTCTACACCAAGGCATCGCCGTTTCAGACGGGAGAACTCCAGGGCTGGCTCTCATGAGTAGAGTGGGGGGAGGAGGAGGCGGCAGCGGCACTTGGTGGAATAGAGGCTAATGTGCCTATGCTGTCAGATGCTTCCTAGGGTTTGAGAGTGCTGCGTGTGGGTACGGATAATGGACCTGTGGTCATGGTCAATGGATTAGGATTAAGCAAACAAATGAGAAACCTGGGGAAATCCTGTCCACGTGGAACTGAATGAAAGTGGGAGTGGAGGTATGGTCCGTATTCAGAAGCTTTTACAGGACCAGGGAAACTGATTGGGTTCTGCTTCCAAGATAAGGAGGCAAACAACACTGGAGTAAACCTCCAGGCCCAAAGATCTGTGCAGTTCCAGTGAAAAGCATGGCATACACTCTGGGGCAGTGTTTTCTGAGACCCCCCCACCTCAAGAGGTGGGCTGAAGAAAGAACCTCTTCTGTGCTCTGGCCTCGGGTCCTGTGCCCCCACCCTTGAGTTCCCCAAGTCCCTGTGTTCTCCTGCAAGATTGGCTGCCCAACCTCGAAGGAAGTGGCAGGTTCTCATTAATTTCCTCCCAGTAAGAAACAAACATCTTTGACCACATCTTGTGCTGCCTCCCACACTCCTGGCCAGGGAGGGGGCGGTGGGGTTCCTGTTAAAGGTCATCCTGCCAAATCAGCCACCCCAGCTTCCTAAACTATAAACAAGGTCCCCACCCCTACAGCCCACTGGGAGGAGGGGAGCCCCAACCCATCGACTCACCTTTCCTTTGTTTAAACAACTCCTGAAACCCACCCCCCCAACTCCCTGTTTAAATAGGCTACTCCCATAATGCCTTAGTTCACCCATGCTCCCCACACACTTCTGATGGTTCTCCTTCCTCCGCTAGTACCTGCAGGTTTGTTTTGGTAATTGATCCAGAAATTGGTTTTCTTCTAAACTAGTTTAATTCATATTCATCTTTCAGTATTTGTCCTGCTGTGTGCTGGACAAGCCTGTTTAGATACAATGCCTGGGCTAAAGCCCAGCTCCAATCAGTGTCCTATGATGACACTGATGAGGGAATGGATGACAGTGGAGAATAGCCTGATGATCGAGAATGCAACCATCCTGGTTCCCAGCAGGCCAGGAAAATGCTAAAGCTTCAGACTGGTCAGTTTTAGGTTGGGCTGTTTTTATTTAGGGGAGGCTTCTATATTCTAGTTCTGTGGCATTCTGGTAAACCTTGGGTCAGTCACAAGTCAACAGCCTCTGAGCCAGTTACCTCATCTGTAAAATTGGGGAGTGCTATGGGGAAGGAGATGAAGTTGAATTAGACTGTTTTAGAAGGTCTCTTCCAACTCCATTAAATGCTAGTAGGTCCCCTCCCCAGGGCCCAGGCAGCAGCCAAAGTAACCAGTATACACAACAGCCTCTGTCCCACTGAGCACCCTAACCAGGGAGGAATCAGGTAGAGGTGGGCAGGGGGAAAAGACCTAAATTCCCACAGGTACAGCGCTTTGGAGAGGACTCATGGATTACCACTGTCCAGGAAGGACTAAGTCCAGGGACCTCTCCCACACCCAGTTGCCCTTCCTTTTCCTGAATTTGACTGGGGTAGAGGGTAAAAGATTACTAAATATTTGTTGCTCTGCAGTGGGGGAAAAAAAAAAGATAAAAAGATCTAGCCTGTGATCACTTCCCAGATCCTCCATTTAAGGTGGCTGGCCAGGACATCATCATATCCCACCCACCCAGCTGCAAGAATTCAGCATTCCCCCACGCAAGAGAGGGTACCTTCTCTTCCCCTCCCCCACCCCTCTTCAGCTTCTTTTTATGTGTTGTCTTTCTCCTTTAAATTGTGAGCCCCTCAAAAGCCTTCCCTTGTATTCCCAGGGCTTAACACAGTACCTGGCACAGAGTAGGCGTTTAATAAACGTTGCCTATTGGCTCTGAGACTGCATGGCAAGCTTACCCAGAGACACATGAGGAAAACCGCACCACCACCCCCATCCTACTTCAAAGGAAAAAAACAAAAACAACCGCTCAGCCCAAGACCCCAGGGCTCTCTAGTCGACCCTTTCGGTGCTTTTGAGATTGCCCTGGTAGTGTCTTGCTCTGGACAGGGAAGTAGGTCATCCTTCCCTCTGTCCTGCTCTTCGGCTAGTGGGGAGAAAGGTTTCTGCCCCGGCTAGTGTCCTCACCACGGTGCCCGGAGCTTTTGTCCCTTTGGGAAGGACGGTAAGAGGTGATCGGCGTCAGAGAGGGCTCGAAGGCCTTTCTTTTTCCTATTCTCCCAATCCAGAAACTTGGGGGCCCGGCGCCCTGGGGAGCAGGGTCTCCTCCCAGGCTGGATGGGGAAAGGATTAAATGGTCCTTAGTTTTCTCTCTGGCCCTAGCCCTAACATAATTTCCGCAGCTTTTTAACACGGCCCTGTCCCAGCCCAGCCTTGGCCACACTTGAGGAAGGGATGTGGCCAAGAAGAAGGCGGGACTCGGGGGTTAATTGCCAGCGGCTCGGTTCCCCCACCCCGAACCCCTCGGCTTCTCAGTGTGGGGCCCTGCCCTCGGCCGGGCGGCTCCAACCCAAATGGACTTCATTTCCTAGGAAACTTGGGGAACGTGGGAACAAGTTTTGTCTGTTAGTACAGCTGTGTGCCCTACTCCTACATGTCTGGAAAGAGGAATGAACTGGTCTCTCCCTCTCCGACCGGGCCATGTGGCCAAGAGTTTGGGCTGATTGGCCGAGCCTAATAGGTTAATCCCATTTCCCCAACCCCCACGCGCACAGCCCCGGACTGCAGGGGCGGACTAGAGTCACGCGGCCCTAAGCCACCTGCGGCCTCCTCCCAGTTCTTGCTCGGAAACGGCTCCGCCCCCAGACCAGCCCTTCTGTCGGCCCTACCCGCCCCACCCACAGCCCAGCGTAAACGGGTGAATAGGGTCTGGGACAACGCACCCAGAGCGTTTGTGTATTGTGCTGTTGGCCGTATTGGGGTGCTCCGTTTGTACAATAGGGACGCCTCGAGTAGGGGGCGAGGAGGCAAGCTGGGGTGATTTTTACTCTCCCTCTCTTTGTAGACAAGGGAGGACTTATCCAGGTGAGGGTGGAGACAGGGCAGGCACCCACCATCCTCCAGATGGTGAAGCCCTGAGAACTGGGGGAGGGGAAGGGCAGGTGGTCCAGAAAGAGGAAGTGAGAAATGCCCCGCCCCTGCCCCATAATTATGAAAGAGTATGTGTCAGTCAGATAATTCTTCTCTCGGGGCTTCGAGGAAGCCTTTTTTTTTTGGCTAAGGAGCTTTTTTTCCTTGCCCTGACTTCTTTCAAAGTAAAGTTGGAGCTTGAGAGGAGGTGTAGAATTACATTCCAGAATGTGAACTCCTTGAGATCAGGGACTGTTTTAATTTGTCTTTCGATTTGATTCAGTTCAAAAAACACTTATAAAGGCCTACTATGCATCAGGCACCATACCAGGCCCCGGAGATACAAAGACCAAAAAAAAAAATTCTGGGGGTGGAGAGAAGAGCAAGAACACGGATTTAACTGAATGCGACCTTTATACAAAGTATAAAATACTGTACTTTGGTAGGTTGTAAGGTAATAAAACGGGTGTGTGTGTGAAGAAAAGTCTGGTAGGAATGGGCACACAAGCTTAGCTTGGCAGGAGCTAAGGGAGCAAAGATCCCATATGATCAGGGATAGCATTCCAGGTAGGAGATGGGACGTCATTTATGATCAACCAGTTTGGTAGAAACAAAAAGTGTGTGAGGGGTATTAATATGTAATAATTCTAGAAAGATAAACTGGACAAGATTACAGAGGGCTCTTTTCTTCCCTTCACTGCTGCCTGGATCTTCCTTCTTCACTTTTCAGCTCCCTTTTAGAAGTTGTCTTCTCCATTAGAAGGTAAGCTCCTTGAGGTCAAGGACAGTTTTTTACTTTTTTCTTCAGTTTGTATTCTATTTTAGCACAGTTCGAGGCATGTAGTAATCCGGTAAATAAATGCTTGTTAATTTGATCTTAAATGCCAAACCGAGAGGTTTACCTTTTATCTTAGCCTAGGGGCAGTAGGTAGTCATTCCACCTTCCAGTGTGGATGAGAGTGGATGACATGGTAACACCAGTGCTTTAGGAACTCTCAATATGACAACAGTATAGAAGCTAGGTTGGAAATCTGAGAGATCGGAGGCGGGGATACCAATTAGGAGGATACTTAAGTAATCAACTCAGCTAGAGCGATGGCTGCCTTTGTGGAAAGAAAGGGGCAGATGTGAGAGATGTCGTGAGGTAAACCTGA